AGGAATGTGCCCTTCAAATATGGCCCTTGGACTCCTACGTAGACCTCTAGTGGAGCACACAGAGCCACTTCTGCGGTAACCAGCTGGGTGGGGAGAAGGGCCACACCCTCCTAAGAGGCCTAACCCTTGGCCTGGGTGATAAAGCACCAGACATTTTTACTGTTGTTTTCAGTGACAAAACAGAGAGAAAAAACGGTGGGGCCCTGGAGGCAGCGGACCTTCCTGCAGGTAGAACTTTCGGGTTTCATGCCTAACTCACTCATTTGTCTTTTAAGTGTTTTGTGGCGTTTCACTTTATGCAGAAGTTTTAAATTTTCCTAAGAACCAGTCTATCAGTCCTTTTCTTTACAGCTTCTGCAGTTTTTGTCTTGCTTAAAAGACCATCCTCACATCAAGGTCATAACATTCGGCTCTTTTTTCTGTGAAAGCAGCTGTAGCTAATACATAAGGAATGAGTGTTGCTGTGTTCTGAAAAAAAACTTTTTTTGTGAGCACTAAAGTTTTAATTTCAAATAATTTTCATATGTCACACAATATTATCCTTGTTTTGACTTTTCCCCCAATCATTTAAAAATATAAAAATCATTTTTATCTGGCAGGTTATACAAGAACAGGCAATGGGCTGGACTTGGGCCAGTGTTTGCCAAGCCCTCATCCAGAAGATCAGATGGTCAGCCTCCCACTCCTATAAATAGCCAAAACCAAAAAATAAAATTAGTTTGTGGACATTGTACATTATTGATGCCTAGACTCAAAACATCACACTGAAAAGACTCAACACAACTCAAATTTGCTCCAACTGTAATATGAGGATATAGTACCTGATTTCTGTCTGGACTCAAACCATCACCTTTTTTCTTAGAACTTTTAATTCAAGCTTCAAACAGAATTTCTATAGCTTTCGTAAAATATTAAAAAAAAAACTGTCATCAATATCAGGCCAGGTGGGACATATCTATAGTTGGTGTCCCATTAGCTTTCAAACTGGGATATCAGAGTTTTATCTTCTGTGAGTTACCACCTGCAAAAAAAGGCAGAGGGTAACTCAGGAAACTGGACTGAGTCTGCTGCAAAAGCCCTTTATCAGCGAAATTATTAAAGAGTTAAATTTCACCATCAAATTTAGACATTTGTTTCTTCATTGAAATTTTTTCCCTGATTTCTATAAAGCTATAGCATAGGTAGAACATTTGTAAAAGAACAATCAGAAGAAAAAATAAAATCACCATAGTCTCACCTCCAAGAGACAATATGCTTTAATTGTTGCATGACATAGTG